AGCAAATATAAAATTCTAGTGTTGACAAATCTGAGTACGAATTAACCAATTCTTCAACTGAACCTTAAATAAAGCATATGTGTCTAGATCTCGTATAGTTGTCGGAATAGTATTCCATTCTCGTGCAGCTTTGACAGAAAAAGCAGACTGACTAAAATTACTTCGTCTAAGCGGTATGATACAGTCCCCTCTTAATGCACCTCTTGTAGAACGATAATCAGTGTTCTAATACTAACTTACTGACTAAGAGGGGGAGAAGATAAACCATAAATAATTTTATACATCAAGCATACATTTGCATACTTAATCATGTTTTCCCAACTTAACAAATTATATTTTTTCAGTATTAGACAATGATGATAATGTACCGATTTCTTATCGAAGACTTTAAGTGTACGTTTCTATAAGGACTCTAATGGTTTTAGAGTCACTGAACTCGCCTGAGACCAGGTGGTTAAACAGTAAGTCATGTGAGAAATAACCATAGAATACATATACATCTTAGCTGCCTCTAATGACATATAATCTCTAATAAACATAAATTATAGAGATTAAACTTAACCTGCTTACAAACCTTTTTAACTTGAGCTTTAAATGTAAGTTTAGAATCAATCAGTATTCCCAGATGTTTATAGTGAGGCACTACCTGCAGCCTCACCCCTGACACGTAAACATCCGGCTCTCGTGCGTTAATACTGTTAGACTTAGAGAAAAGCATACATACTGTCTTGGACACATTTAGTTGTAAGCAATTCTCTTTTAGCCATGCTGACACATTAACCATAGAATTTGTGAGTTAATTTGCAACTTGTGATAGACTATTACCATGTATATAAATTACTGTGTCGTCCACATACATTTGTATATTAATGCCAGGACATGCAAGATGAAAATCATTTATATATATAGCAAAAAGCAATGGACCCAAGATAGATCCTTGCGGAAACACCAGTTGATGAACCTAAATCATTGAATTGATGATTTTGTACTCTAACACACTGAAATCTATCTGATAGACATGACTCTATCCATTTAAGTGTGTGTAATGATAAATTAAAACAAGATAACTTAGACATAAGGATTCTATGATGAACAGTGTCAAAGGCTTTCTTTAAATGAAGGAACACGGCTCCAACTACACCACCTTTATCTAAGAAAGTTTTAATATTTTCTATAAAAAAAACAATTTGGGGTTTCCGTTGAGTATTTTGCTCTAAAACCAAACTGCATTGAATGCAATGAAAATGAACTACTACTCAAGTAACTGCTTATATGTTTTGCAACTAATTTCTCCATAACCTTAGAAGCAGTGGGTAAAATACTAATTGGCCTATAATTATCAATAGAAAGGGGATCTCCACTTTTGAATATTGGAACAACAATCGCCGAATTCTAAACACTTGGGAATTTTCCGTGAGAAATTGAAAGGTTAATAATTTTAGTAATAAGTTTAATTAGAGTCGAACTAGACTCTTTGAGCATAACAACATCCATACCATATTTATCTTTTGCTCTAGATGATTTAAGAGATTTAATTGTTCTCATAACATCAGAATCACTAACAGGCCTTATTCTAAAAACAGGCTTTGTGTCCAGCAGGGGTATATTTGTCCAGCAGGGGTTGCTGCGATGAGTTACAGTTTTTCTCGATTGCGTAAACACATTTCTTGAAATTGTGACTCCTTTTCTCGAAACTCTAAACACAAATCCATAACTTCTCACCCAATTCCAGCTGTCCTCAAGCACAAGAACATGATCAACTACAGCACTGTGTATTTCATCAGGAATAAATGTCCTTTGACCCCGTCCCCTTCAGTTTTCTTCTTCCCTCCTCTTCCTCTTTGTCTCAAACTAGTAGGATTCATGTTCCAAAACTCATAATCAGCTGTGCTCTTGTTAATATCATCCTGAAATTCTGACTGCTGTGTCGTCAGTTTTGCTACTGAATGTTCACACATGGATAAATGTGTGCTGTTTGAGTTCATTTTGTGATTCTTGAGGTAGTTATATTGTGTGTTTGTGTTTTCTAGGTGAAATGTTTTAAAAGTTTTGAGAATGGTGTCTTTGTTTCAGGAACTGTATGAATGGTTTGGAAAATTGTGCCAAACGAATCAGTTATAGTGTGTTAGCAATCGAGAAAAACTGTAATAGCCCATGGCAGCTCTGCGTTTCAGACTGTGCATTTTGGGTAGCCGAAACTGTAGTTGAGAAAAATTAAAGTATGGTAAGAAAGAAAAGTAGCAAGAAAACTTCACTTAAAGCCTCCATTCAGAGCCTGAGTTCCAGTGTTCAAAGGACAATTACTACATTACCATTATGGATTGCCGGAAAGATGTTTTCAAACCATTCAAATACAACTTATGAGAACAATAATAGGAAGACATTGACAGTGAATACCTTTTCAGTAACAAACCAGTTTCATCACTAATACTTTAATGATTTTGTTTCAAGAATTTAGCGGGATACAGGAAAATGCTCAAAGAAAAAAGTGAAACTATCAGGAATGCAAAGAATAGCCTGCAGACCGAGTTCAGAGTAAATGTGTGTTGAGTCAGTGTGGTTAACAATATTCAGTTCTCACACTGAAGATCATGTTTCACCAACGCTGTTGTGTCAGGTTATGTGTGAAAACAGAACGACTGCAGGATAAAACGGCCTGAGTTGATCTCACTTCTCCCCCAACACTTCTCCATTATGACTGGCATGAGCAGCATTTAAACACTCAGTCCTTCAGATCAGAGGAAGTGAAGAAACACAGGAGGAGCTGATAGTATTTAAAGAAAGAGTTGAGATCATATAATGAAGAGGAAGACTGAGAGAAAGAGAAAATGTCTGATGAGTGTCATCTGTGTCTGCTGGGACTGATCGTTCTCTCTTCACTTCTCACAGGTAAAGAAATCTGGGTTTTCTCTACAAGACATTCAGTGGAATTAGTCTGAGAAAGAGTTCATTTGAACACCATCAGTTTCTTCTTGTGTTTCACACAGAACATACTGGATTATTCCTGAACGCACTAAAACTAGACAGTTTCACACTCAAACATCTGATGCTGAATTATTTTCATATTGAGAGTGTGTTTGTGATTCGAGCAGCTCTCTGATGAAGAACAATAGTTTATTCTGGAGAGTGTGTTTTTTTGTATTAAATGAGGAAAAAAGACTATGATTTGAATCTTCTGCTTTTTGATGCTGGTATGTTTTATGTTTTCATTTATTAATATATAACATAATGATCAGATGTTCTTGTGTTTCAGGTATCAGTGGAGTGGATGATGCTCATGTGTTCATCAGTTCTGGTGAAGATGTCCGTCTGCTCTGTAATAATGCTCTTCATGACTGCACATCAACTACATGGATCTATAATGATGGAGGCTCTTGTGATGATTTGATCCGTTCTGAGAGAATTCAGCTGTTCTGGGTGAATCAGGCTGGTGTTAAACTGACGAGATCATTCTCCAGATATCAGATATTATCCTCATCACATCACTGTATCATCACTCTGAATACAACACTCCTGAATGAAGATCACAACAGAGAGTGGAGATGCAATGTTACTCAGAGAGATCAAGTGAAGAGCTCAGTCACATACACTGTCAAGAGTTCAGGTGAGAAAACATCTCATCAATAAGTTTTATTTAAACACTTGTTTTATTGGTACAAACAGTCCCTATTGTATTTACAGAATGCCGTGTTTTTCAGAAAACAAGTTGCACCAGATCAAACTTGCGTTGTTGAGAGAGAAAAAACACAGATATGTCTGTATTGGTTGCATTTTATTATTACATTCAGAAATACTGTCAAATGTAAATAAAACGAAATGTTAGCACACCTTATAAACACAATAAACATGTATTTTACTTGCCCTCACTCCAAATTCTGTAAATTAATGATATTCAATACTGAACAAAAATGGTAAAATATATGTATCAATTAAAAATAAAATATAGTGCCATTCATTACAAACAACATTTATTTTCAATGCCAAGCCAATAACAAACTGATTTAAAGTCAAACTGATCTGCTCTCGTTCCTCTCATTCGATGAGAGTCGTTTCCATGAATGAATCGTTAGTCGCGATGTAACATCTGGTTGCTAAACTATTATTTATAATGTAAAGAAGGCTTTGCGCTGCTCTCGTGTCCCAATATCCTCTTATAACGGCATCAGAAGACTTGTATATAGCATCACATCTCATTCTTCTTGATCTGTGAATTCAGGTGACGCGGTCCTCTGTACCAAAATGTGTGCTTTTTCATAGTGACTCTTAATTTTATAATGCGTATAGCTCCAAAGTTTGGACACTTAGGAGACTGAACCCAGTGTCATCTTGACCTGCTTGATTCGTGAGTTTGGTCACGGTCTTGTATGTTTACCTCCAGGACCGAGTTTGGACACCCCTGTTTCAGATGTAGCCTAATTTGTGAACAATTTCACAATCGCATTGTATCATATTTCAGTGTTTTTCATTGCTCGGTCCTCTTTTTCTTGTGTATTAATTATAAGCTGGCTGTGCCAATGAACAACGGTCCAAGCCATTAGATAAACTAGCTTATAAGTTTAAAAATGGTCATCTAGTCAGGTCATGCTAGACTCAAATGGAGTATTGTGATTTGTGAAATACTTACCAGTACAGTTTTGGTCAGAATAACCCTTTCCTGACTCATTCCCTATTCTGCTTTCTTTCTGAAGCATTTCACTCTACTGTTTTGGTCTGTTAACCCTTCACGGAGTGCTTTACTGGCAAACAGAAGCGTGAAAGAACCTTCTCAAAGAAGCTTTTGTTGAAACCTTAAGCAAACTATTTCATAATGCTTTGTCTGTCAATGACGGTTTTCCTTATAAATATTTAAAGAATAAGTCAAATCCATGTCATGACCCTTTTAAAGCATCAGGGAAGGGTTAACTGAGCAAAACTGCAGTGAAACACAAGTTACAAATCTGAATAGTGTAGTTAAGCACTCTACGAAGGGTTAACAGACCACAACTGTACTGAGAAATCAGAATAGTCTGTTATTTGTTATTCACCGGCTCAGCCTGTTTGTCATTATTACACACGAAAAAGAGGAACGGGCGGTGAGAAACACTGAAACGTGATCAAATGTGATTGTGAAAGATTGTGAAAGTTCGCAGATCAGGCTACATCTAAAAAAAAGTCACTTAGTATTGTCTAAGACTCCATGTTTGTTGGAACTATTGTATTTACAGAATGCCGTGTTTTTCAGAAAACAAGTTGCACCAGATCAAACTTGCGTTGTTGAGAGAGAAAAAACACAGATATGTCTGTATTGGTTGCATTTTATTATTACATTCAGAAATACTGTCAAATGTAAATAAAACGAAATGTTAGCACACCTTATAAACACAATAAACATGTATTTTACTTGCCCTCACTCCAAATTCTGTAAATTAATGATATTCAATACTGAACAAAAATGGAAAAATATATGTATAAATTAAAAATAAAATATAGTGCCATTCATTAC